ATTGAAACATTGAATTGAAAAAATGGGAAATTAAAAAAAAAGAAAATGCAAAATCGAAAATTTAGAAACGCCAAAAATTGAAAATTCGCAACATTTAAAAACAGAAAAATCGAAAAACCGTAATTTTGAAAAATTCTGAAATTAATGAAGCGAAATCCCAAAACTGAAATATTGAAAAATTACCAAGTCGAATGATTGAAAAATCAAAAATTTTAAAAAATGAAAAACTAAAAACCTGAAAAATCGAGAAATGGGAAAATGAAAACATCGAAAAATGTAAAAGTCAAGAAATCGAGAAATTGATGAGTTCAAAAATAGAAAATTTAATTAGTCCAAAAATTGGAAAATCGAAAAAATGAAGAACCAACAAATTGAAAAATCCTAAAACTGAAATATCGGATAACCGAGAAATCGAAAAATAAAAGAATCGAGAAATCGAAAATTTGAAAAATCGAAAAATTGAAGAATCGACAAATCGAAAAGTTGAAATATCGTCAAGTCGAAAAATCAACAAACTGAAAATTTAAAAAATTGAAAAATAAATCAAAAGCCTGTAAAATTGAAAAACTGAATCATTGATTTGAAAAACTGAATCATTGATTTGAAAAACAGCAAAATTGAGAAGTCGAGAAGTTGAAAAATCGTAAAATGGGAAAAAAAAGAAAAACCTAAACGTTAAAAAATGGAGAAATAGATAGGTTCAAAAACTGATTAATCAGGAAATTGAAAAATCGAAAATTTAGAAACGAAAAATTGAAATATTGAAAAATTGATATCGAAAAAGTGATAAATCGAGAAATTGAAAAATCTTACAAAAATTCCAAAACAGAAACACGAAATATTGAAAAATCCCAAAACTGAAATAACTTAAAATTAATAAATCAAAACATTGGAAAATCGAGAAATTGAAAAGTCGAAAATTTTGAAGCGCGAAAAATTGAAAAATCTAAAACTTTAAAAAATGAAAAATTGAAAAATCGTAAAACTGAAATATTGGAAAATTGAGAAAACGAAAATTTGAAAAACTGAGAAATTGTTGATAAATCAATAAATCGAGAAAATGAAAAATCGAAGAAAAATTGAAGAATCGAAAAATCCCAACACTGAAACTACAAAATATTGAAAAACCCCAAAACTAAAACAGGAAATATTGAAAAATACCAAAACTGAAACATGTACCTAAAAACTGACAAATCGAGAAATGGGAAATTAAAAAAAAAGAAACGTCTAAAAGTCGAAAAATCGACATATTCATGAGTTGAAACTTCGATTGATCGAAAAATCGAAAATTTAGAAACGCCAAAAATTGAGAAATCGCAACATTTAAAAACAGAAACATGAAAAATCGAAAAATCAAAAAATTAAATCGAAACACCGAGAAATTAACGAAGCGAAAAGTTGAAAAATCCCAAAACTGAAATATTGAAAAATTGCCAAGTAGAATAATCAAAAGACCAAAAATGTTAAAAACTGAATGAAAAATGAAAAACCTAAAAAATCGAGAAATCGATACGTTCAAAAATCGAAAATTTAGAAACTCTAAAAAATGAAGAATCGACAAATTGAAAAATCATAAAACTGAAATACCGGATAACTGAGAAATCGAAAAATAAAAAACTCGAGAAACCGAAAATTTGAAAAATCGAAAAATTGATGAAGCGAAAAATTAAAAAGTCCCAAAACTGAAATATCGAAAAATTGCCAAGGCGAATTATTAACAAAAACCAAAAAAAAAAGAAAAATCAGAAACCTCAAAAATGGAGAAATGGGAAAATCAAAAATCTAAAAGTCGAAAAATCGAGAAATCGGTAGGTCGAAAAATCGAAAATTTAAAAACCGAATATTTGAAAAATCGAAAAATTGAAACACTGAATTGAAAAAATGGGAAATTAAAAAAAAGAAAATGAAAAATCGAAAATTTAGAAACGCCAAAAACTGAAAAATCGCAACATTTAAAAACAGAAAAACGAAAAATCGAAAAACCGTATATTTGAAAAATTCTGAAATTAATGAAGCGAAAAGTTGAAAAATCCCAAAACTGAAATATTGAAAAAATGCCAAGTCGAATGATTGAAAAATCAAAAATTTTAAAAAATGAAAAATTGAGAAATGGGAAAATGAAAACATCGAAAAATCTAAAAGTCAAAAAATCGAGAAATCGATGAGTTCAAAAATAGAAAATTTAATTAGCCCAAAAATTGGAAAATCGAAAAAATGAAGAACCGAAAAATTGAAAAATCCTAAAACTGAAATATCGGATAACTGATAAATCGAAAAATAAAAAAATCGAGAAACCGAAAATTTGAAAAATCGAAAAATTGAAGAATCGACAAATCGAAAAGTTGAAGATCGTCAAGTCGAAAAATCAAAAAAACTGAAAATTTAAAAAATTGAAAAATAAATCAAAAGCCTGTAAAATTGAAACACTGAATCATTGAATTGAAAAACAGGAAAATTGAAAAGTCGAGAAAAAGAAAATAAGGTTGAAAAACTGATTAATCAGGAAATTGAACAATCTAAAATTTAGAAACGAAAAACTAAAAAATTGTAAAACTGAAATATTGAAAAATTGAGAGATCGAAAATTTGAAAAATCGAGAAACTGTTAAGGCGAAGAGTTGAAAAATCCCAAAACTGATATCGAAAAACTGATAAATCGAGAAATTGGAAAATCTAACAAAAATTCGAAATATGAAACACGACATATTGAAAAATCCCAAAACTGAAATAACTAAAAATTAATAAATCAAAAAATTGGAAAATGGAGAAATTGAAAAGTCGAAAAGTTTGAAACGCGAAAAATTGAAAAATCTAAAACTTTAAAAAACGAAAAATTGAAAAATCGTAAAACTGAAATATTGGAAAATTGAGAAAACGAAAATTTGAAAAACTGAGAAATTGTTGATAAATCAATAAATCGAGAAAATGAAAACTCAAAGAAAAATTGAAGAATCGAAAAATCCCAACACTGAAACTACGAAATATTGAAAAATCGTAAAATTTACAATATCAGAAAACTGAAAAATCCAAAAATCAAAAAATTAAATCGAAACATCGAGAAATTGATGAAGTGACAAATTGAAAAATCCTAAAACTGAAACCTCGGATAACTGAGGGATCGAAAAATAAAAAAATCGAGAAACCGAGAATTTGAAAAATCTAAAAATTGAAGAATCGGCAAATCAAAAAGTTGAAATATCGTCAAGTCGAAAAATCAAAAAACTGGAAATTTAAAAAATTGAAAAATTAATGAAAAGCCTGTAAAATTGAAAAACTGAATCATTGAATTGAAAAACAGCAAAACTGACAAGTCGAGAAGTTGAAAAATCGGAAAATGGGAAAAAAAGAAAAACCTAAAAGTTAAAAAATAGACAAATCGATAAGTTGAAAAACTGATTAATCAGGAAATTGAAAAAGCGAAAATTTAGAATCGAAAAATTGAAAAATCGTAAAACTGAAATAGTGAAAAATTCCATTAAATCGAGAAAATGAAAAATCGAAGAAAAATTGAATAATCGAAAAATCTCAACATTGAAACTACGAAATATTGAAAAATCCCAAAACTAAAACAGGAAATATTTAAAAATTCCAAAACTGAAATACCTAAAAATTGAAAAATCGTCAATTTGTAAAAACGAAAAACCGAAAATAAAAAAAAAATTAAAACTTAAAAATTTGAAAAATCGAAAATTGAAACATCGAAATGAAAAACTACAAAACTGAGAAATTGAGAAATGGTAAATTAAAAAAAAAAGAAAGATCTAAAAGTCGAAAAATCCAAAGTTAAAACTTCGATTAAAAAATCGAAAATTTAGAAACACCAAAAATTGGAAAATCGAAAAATTGAAGAATCGAGGAATAGAAAAGTCGAAAAAATGGATAAACTGAAAATTTAAAAAAAATAAAAATCAAAAACCTGGAAAATTGAAAATCTGAATCATTGAATGAAAAACTGCAAAATTGGGAAATCGAGAATTTGAAAAATCGGGAAATAAAAAAAGAAAAACCTAAAAGTTAAAAAACAGAGAAATCGATAAGTTGAAAACTGATTAATCAAGAAATTGAAAAATCGAAAATTAAGAAACGCGAAAAATTGAAAAATCTAAAACTTCAAAAAACGAAAAATTTGAAAAATCGAGATATTGTTGAAGTGAAAAGTTGAAAAATCCCAAAACTGAAATCGAAGTGTTGAAAAATTGAGAAATCGAAAAATAAAAAAATCGGGAAATTTTTTAAAAATGTGAAACCTTTTGGGGGGTCCCAACTGTCTTTTTTAAAATGTAAAACCTTCTCGGAGGCCACAAATGTATTTTTTTTATGTAAAACCTTCTCGGAGGCCCCAAATGTCTTTCTTTTTAATGTGAAACCTTCTCGAGGTCTTTTTTTTTGAAAGATTCCACGAACGTGTTGTCAATTTGTTAAAAACACCACAAATACCCAATTCTGTAAAATCTTCACACAAACTTTGTGACAAGTATACACAGAAATTGAATTTTTCCATTCGCATATTTCTAGCAATGCTTAAATTGCGTATCGGTTTAGTTAATACAACTTGTGCGAATACCGAATGTTTACTGTTCAAAATTCACAATACAATCGCAAACTTTGACGACGGGCTAATCTAATCTTCAAAACACGTTTTGTTTGGGTAGCAAACAACTTTCTGAATAATAGAAAAAACGAAGTTAAATTTTCGGATTATTTTTAAGGTTGACTTAAGTTTTCGTATTATTTTTATATATTACTATTTATAGCAACATTTCGCTGTTTTATCCTGGAATAACCAACCGGTTTAATAAAAACACAATACATAGGTACAACATTCTGAATCGCTAATTTCGATAATCTTGGATTCCGATTTTTTGTTCATCACCGGCAATTTTTTACTCAGAACATAAAAATGAACTGGTTTCCCGGTCCATTCTAAAATTCTGACTACTTTTTTTGCTCTCTACTAGTTTTAAATGCAGTCAATAACCACAAATCACGTTTAGTATTAAAATGAAAATAAAGTGAGTAACTCAATACGCATCTAATCTGTAGCCTATTTTAGAGTAAAAATTTTAGGAACGATGTTAAAAAAAAATCGTCAAAAAAAGAGTTCACGATAAGAGATGCACTTTTGACCACTAGGTTTGAAAATAGCGACGATGGAAGAACAATTTATAATATATTTGTCGTAATATTTGTCCTGTTGTTAACGTACACAGGTTTGGACGAGTATACGAAAACAGGAGAGTGAGTATTATTATTATCATAATCAGTATTTAATTTAATTATTATTTTTGACCTTGGCGTTTTCTTTCAGAGTATGGTTGTCTTTACATCTACTATGGTTCGCTTTCAAAAAACTCTACTTGGCCATTTTAGTCTGGTGTGCGTCGAACATTGTGGCTTGTTTTAGTTACGCATTTTTTAAGTTTTGGGCCAAAGTCCGACTAATCCTGAAACCTAAAGGTAATTCTTATTTACAACAAGACTACCCTTCAAAATGACTAGATTTAAGGGCAAAACGTTTGGGACAAAATATGGATCACGATTTTGGTTTTTTATTATTTTTGGTTTCTGTATGGTCTTCAAAACATAGGAAACGTTGCAAAGTTTGGAAAAGCTTCTACCACTTTTGTCTTTATGGAACAAGTACGTACAAATTATAACGTCCAAATCCATCTGCAAGTGCTACTTTTTTGTAATTTTTAGGTACGACTGTTGATGAAACAACACGCTTTCATTCGCACGAACGTACCTCGGGTACTACGTACCAAAATGCACACTGACACTAATTTAGAGTTACCAAATTTTGGCAAATTTCTTTATTTCATGTTTGCTCCAACCATGATTTACAGAGACGAATATCCTCGAACTCGACATATTCGTTGGAAGTTTGTGTTTTACAACATCTGGGAATTGTTTGCAGTAACATGGTTCTACGCCATCATCGTGGAAAGGTTCTTGATTAGTACATTCGACGACATGTGCCTAAGAAAATTCACTTGGGGCGAAATTATTTCCCCAATTTTTGGTAATGTTTTACCAGGGATTCTCTTTCTGTTACTCTCATTCTACGGAGTTTTGCACTCGTGTCAGAACGCGTTTGCCGAAATTCTTCGATTTGGAGACAGAATGTATTACAAGGTATAAAACTAAACAGTTTTTTTTTTACTTCAACAGTTGTTTGTAGGAGTGGTGGAATTCAAAATCGCTTGGAGAATTTCATCGAACGTGGAATATGTTAGTACAAGACTGGTTGTACACATACGTATACAAAGACGTCTACGAAGTGATCGTTCCAAAAAATAAAAAAGTTGCTAATTTTGTAGTTCTGTTCCTGTCGGCGGTGGTGCACGAATGGTTGGTGATTAACGTGTTTAGATTTTTTCTGCCTGTTAATTTAATTATTTTTCTAATAACTGGAGCTGTGTTTGCCGCAATGGGTATTATGGGTGCCCAATGGGGAAATTTGTTGTTTTTGTATGGTATGGCCATAGGTTTAAGCATAGAAGCTAACTTATTTGCGCTTGAAAGCTATGCACATGATAATTGTCCCTTGAACGAAAATGTTACTGCAATGAAGTTTTATATTCCGAGATTTATTGCGTGCCGCTGTATTAAATGAAAATAAAATTTAGTTTTTTCTACTAATGTTATCGCAATTTCTACCCTTGTGTCACACAGGGCGCCACCAGTTTATTATTAAATCATATTTAATAAGTATATATGGTTATTATTTTAACTGTGCCGGCACAATAACACGTTGGTAAGCGGAGAAAGATAAGCGGCCTCGTGATCTAGTGGTCAGGATACCTGCCCGGCAAGCGGAGGGCGTGTGGTTCGATTCCCATCGAGGCAGCAACATTTTTCTTCGCTTACCGTCATAAAAATCGAGACACGAAAAATTGAAAAATTATAAAAAAATTGGAAAAACGAAAAAAAAAATACCAAAATTGAAACAACTCTGTAATTTTTCAACAAAAGGATAATTTTTTTCAAACTGAACTTTTGAAAAACCGAAAAATTGTAACACTGAAACATCAAAAAACAAAATAATTAAAAATCGAGAAATTGAAAAAACAACAATTTTTGTAGTTTCTCGATATAAAATTTTTCAAATTCTCAAGTTTTAGTTTTCTATTTTCTCGTTTTTTGGTTTTTAATTGATCAATAAAAGGACAAATTTATTGAAACCGAAATTTTGAAAAATTTAAAAATCGGAAAATTGTACATTGAATAGTATAAAAATTACAAAATTAAAAATTTAAAAATTGAGAAGTCGAAGAATTGAAAAAATTGAGAAATTGAACAATGGGATAATTGAAACAACAATTGAAAAATAGAAAAATTGTAATATTGAAACCCGAAAACCCTGATTAATTAAAAATCGAGAAAGTGAAAAATTGAAGAAACGAAAAACAAAAACTTCTATAAATTACATAATCAAAAATTCAAAAAAATTAAATATCAAAATCCAAAAATTTTAAAATGAAAACCGGAAAACTAAAAAATTAAGAAATTGTAAAAACGAAACATGGAAAAATTAAAAAAATACAGAAACTGAAAAATCGGATAATGGAAAACCCAAGAATTGTACAATTGAATAATAAAAACCCTAATAATTATTTGAAAAGAGTGAAAAATTTAAAAATCGGAAAATTGTACATTGAATCGTCTAAAAATTACAAAATTAAAAAATTTAAAAATTGAGAAGTCGAAGAATTGAAAAAATTGAGAAAAATTGAAAGAACCGAAAAAATGAGAAAAATTTAAAAATTGAACAATCGAAAAATGAAAAAATTGAGAAATTGAACAATGGGATAATTGAAACAACAATTGAAAAATCGAAAAATTGTAATATTGAAACCCGAAAACCCTGATTAATTAAAAATCGAGAAAGTGAAAAATTGAAGAAACGAAAAACAAAAACTTCTATAAATTACATAATCAAAAATACAAAAAAATTAAATTTCAAAATCCAAAAATTTTAAAATGAAAACCGGAAAACTAAAAAATTAAGAAATTGTAAAAACGAAACATGGAAAAATTAAAAAAATACAGAAACTGAAAAATCGGATAATGGAAAAGCCAAGAATTGTATAATTGAATAATAAAAACCCTAATAATTATTTGAAAAGAGTGAAAAATTTAAAAATCGGAAAATGGTACATTGAATCGTCTAAAAATTACAAAATTAAAAAATTTAAAAATTGAGAAGTCGAAGAATTGAAAAAAGTGAGAAAAATTGAAAGAACCGAAAAAATGAGAAAAATTTAAAAATTGAAAAATCAAAAAATGAAAAAATTGAGAAATTTAACAATGGGATAATTGAAACAACAATTGAAAAATAGAAAAATTGTAATATTGACACCCGAAAACCCTGATTAATTAAAAATCGAGAAAGTGAAAAATTGAAGAAACGAAAAACAAAAACTTCTATAAATTACATAATCAAAAATACAAAAAAATTAAATTTCAAAATCCAAAAATTTTAAAATGAAAACCGGAAAACTAAAAAATTAAGAAATTGTTAAAACGAAACATGGAAAAATTAAAAAAACACAGAAACTGAAAAATCGGATAATGGAAAAGCCAAGAATTGTACAATTGAATAATAAAAACCCTAATAATTATTCGAAAAGAGTGAAAAATTTAAAAATCGGAAAATGGTAGTACCTGATAAGATAAGGGTGATTTTGGCAGATCAGAAATCTTCTAAAAAAAGAGAGGGTGGGTGGGCGGGGCTAGTACCTGGTAAGATAAGAGTGATTTTGGCAAATGAGAAATCTTTTAAGAAAAGAGAGGGTGGATGGGCGGGGCTACTACCTGCTAAGATAAGAGTGATTTTGGCACATGGGAAGCTGTAAAATTCTTCAGATTTTTTTTTTAATAAAATATCGAGGATTCTTAGAATTATTCTAGAACAAAACACCAGAGACTCCCGAGATCCTTTCAAATTCTGATGAAATAAGAAACTGTTCCGGAGATTTTTTTGAATTCTTTTAAAAACAAATCACCAGCGATCGTCGAGATTCTTTCAAATTATTTAAAAATAAAACACCAAGATTCCAGTCCTCGAAATTCTTTCAGATTCTTTTGAAATAAAGACATCAGGGAGTTTTTTTTCTTAATTCTTTTAAAAAAACACTGGCAGTCCCGATATTCTTAAAAAAATGTTACCCTAGATTCTTTCAAATTTTTCAACATTAAAACTAGGGACCACCAAGATTCTTTTAAATCTTCTTTTAAATTTTTACCTTGGCAATACCCACCCTTTCTTTTCTTAGAGAGCATATCATTTGCCAAAATCAGTTTTATCTGAGCAGCTACTAGCTAGGATAAGACTGATATTGGCAAATTCCATACCCTCTAGGAAAAAAGAAGGTGGGTGGGCGGGGCTAGTACCTATTAGGATAACTCATTTGGCAAATGAGATCTCTCTAAGAAAATAGAGGGTGAGTGGGCGGGTCAGAACGTGTTAATCTAAGATCGATTTTGGCAAATGACATATCCTCTAAGGAAAGAGACGGCGGGCAGGCGGGGCTAGTATTTGCTAAGAAAAAAACTGATTTTAACAAATAATATACCCTCTAAGAAAATAGAGGGTGGGTGGGCGGGTCTAGGATTTCATAAGTTGAATTTGCTTGCGATTAATACTCTATAAAACTACAAATTCAATGTTCTCCTCCCAAATAAAGCCATTTGGAACAGTTTCAAATTTTTTGTGAAAATTTTGGGCAATTTTGGAGTCCTTTCATCGCATTTCTCAGTTATTTGAAGACAAATCGTAAACATATTTTAGATTCGTAATGTGCGAAAAATGATCTATAAGCCAACTATTTTCCGTTGGGTCAGACCACCTTTTAACTATTTCAGGCAAAAAATCTTTGGAAATTAAACATTTTTCTCACTTTTCTCGCTAATTTTCGGAAATAGTTGAAACATAGTCGGAAATTTAAAAGTGCGAAAATTGGTATTATCTTATCAGAAACTACCCCCGCCCACCCACCCTCTATTTTCTTGGAACGTATGTGATTTGCCAAAATCAGTCTTATCTTAGTAAGTACTAGCCCCGCCCACTCGCCCTCTATTTTCTTGGAAGGTATGTGATATGCCAAAATCAGTTTTATCTTAGCAAGTACTATTTAATTATTATTTAATAATTTATTTAGCCATTTCAATGTAGCATATAGTACTTAAGATAAAACTGAAATTGGCAAATCACATACCTTCTAAGACAATAGAGGGCGGGTGGGTGGGGCTAATATTTACTGAGGTAAGACGGATTTTGACAAATCACGTTTCTTGTAAGAAAATGAGGGTGGGTGGGCGGGGCTAAGATTTCATAAGATAAATTTGCGATTAATACCCTATAAAACTGGAAACTCAGTGGTTTCCTCTGAAAGCCATTTGGAACGGTTTAAAATTTTTTGGAAATTTTGGGGATTTTTTGAACATTTTCCCCTCAGTTCTCAGTTATTTGAAGACAAATTGTCAAAAATATTTTAGATTCGTAATCCACGAAAAATTATCTATAAGCTAACTATTTTCCGCTGAGTCAGATCGTCTTTTAACTGTTTCGAACAAAAAAATTTTGGAAATTACGAAAAATATTTCTCACTTTTCTCGCCAATTTTCGGAAATAGTTGAACAATAGTCGGAAATGTCAAAAAAAAATTAGTATTATTTTACCAAATACTATCGTCTAAAAATTACAAAATTAAAAAATTTAGAAATTGAGACGTCGAAGAATTGTAAAAATTGAGAAAAATTGAAAGAACCGAAAAAATGAGAAAAATTTAAAAATTAAACAATCGAAAAATGAAAAAATTGAGAAATTGAACAATGGGATAATTGAAACAACAATTGAAAAATCGAAAAATTGTAATATTGAAACCCGAAAACCCTGATTAATTAAAAATCGAGAAAGTGAAAAATTGAAGAAACGAAAAACAAAAACTTCTATAAATTACATAATCAAAAATACAAAAAAATTAAATATCAAAATCCAAAAATTTTAAAATGAAAACCGGAAAACTAAAAAATTAAGACATTGTAAAAACGAAACATGGAAAAATTAAAAAAAAACAGAAACTGAAAAATCGGATAATGGAAAAGCCAAGAATTGTACAATTGAATAATAAAAATAATAATTATTTGAAAAGAGTGAAAAATTAAAAATCGGCAAATTTAAAAATGAAACACTTACAAAATTGTAAATTTGAAAAAAAAAATTAAAAATGGAAAAATTGAAGAAATGAAAAATTGAAAATCAAAAATTGAAAAACCAAACTTGAAATATCGAAATATTGAAAAAATTGGCAAACTGACAATTGGGTAACGAAAAAAGCAATTAAAAAATGGCACAACTGACAAAAAGATAGAAACTGTAAAATCGAAAATTTGTAACATTGAAACCTGAAAAAGTGATAAATTAAAAATCAAGAAATTGAAAAATCGAAAAGACGAAAAATTGTAAAATTCAACAGATAGATCAAAAAAAATTTACAGAAAAATCATTTGGTAACATTTTATTATACTTTCTTTGTCCACTGTCAGATAAGTTTGTTTTACTTTAATTTACTTAAAAAACAAACACGTGTTTAAAGTTAACTAGATTTAAAT